GAGAGAGAGAGAGAGAGAGAGAGAGAGAGAGAGAGAGAGAGAGAGAGAGAGAGAGAGAAGGGGGAAGGGGGAAGGGGGAGAGAGAAATTGATTTAATGCCAGGGCAACCAAGCGTGGTAGTTATACCTATAATGTCAACATTTAGGAGGAAAGAACATGAGAATTGCCTCAAGTTCAAGGACAACTTGGGCTACACAGCATATACCCAGACAGCCTCTCTCAAAGAAATCAATAATAAAAGACTAAAATGGCATGGAGAAAATGTACTGTTAAGCAAACTGCCACACCATCACACAATATTGTGCTGTCTACCTAAAAAGAGAAAGGGCACAGAGGAAGGAGGACATGAGTGGGATGCAGTAGAAAAGGAGGGCAAGTTTGGTGACAGAGGCCGGTACAAATTCATGCAGGATGTACTCTAATGGCAGGCCCCAGTGTCCCAGGCCAGTGCTTCCCAGGTGACCAGGACTCAAATCCTTTATGAAAGAGGGTTCCTGCAGATTCCACAGAGTGCTGAGGCTGAACATTAATGCAAAAGGTGATGGTCACACACACATTCCAGGGGGCCAGAAGAGAGTGAGAATCGGGTCCTTCAGCTACAAGAAAGCTTAGGCTTCTGAGTACCCAGAAACCAGACTGGCCACAGCAAAAGCTGCTGGAACAAAGCCTTCACCTTCTTGAGCAAATCAGTGTCACACTAAGACTGTCACTGACAAGAGAGGAAGAGGCATTTCCAATATGCAGGACCTTGGACAATCACTAGGATCCTCATTCGAAAGAGATGCAGACCTGTCTCCTCAAAGAGAAAAGAAATCCAGCAAAGAGACACCTGGACACAGAGCCTTGGATTCACCCAGGATGGTCTTCTGCTTTAGGAAACCACCAGCTGCCCTGGGAGGGTGACTAAGAGGGGACTGGTGAGGTCTCCAGACAGGGTATGACGCTGGCTGTGGCAAGACCTGCCCAGCCCCAGGGAACCAAGAACCCTGTCCAGACATGCAGGAAAGCAAGGGCTCCTGAAAGCAAATAAACAGAAATAAATTAGGTGTGAGACCTCATTTTCCTGAAATTTATTTCCCAGGGGGTATTCCTGCCACCAACTTACTATTTTTAAAAATGGACTAAGAACCAAGAAAGAGGAGGCTCTGATCTGGTTACACAAGGCAGGACTCCTCCCACCCCTCCATGGCTACAGGGGCTCTGCTGTCCCTGATCCTGCCCCTGGGGTACAATTGGCTGCCTTCACCAATGTACCATTCTGAGTCAGCTTAAACAGCCTGCAGGCAGGAGCTTACTGTGTCTCAATGTCATTGCCGATTCTTCTGTGCCTCTGAAGCGTCATCTCGCATAGCTTGTTAACAAAATAAAAAGCCACAAATGAGTATGCTCTATGTGACAAGTTTAACAAGCAGGAATCTCAGATCCAATTTCATTTCTGCCAAAAATGAGCTGTACCACAATTGGTTTGCTTGTCACTCATTAATACATGATTTAATTGTTTAATTTTAAACATTATGAGCTATCAGCATGTGTGTTTCTTGATGTTCTAACGTTCAGGTGAATGTTAGTCGGTTTCAAAATACTTATTTTTTTAGGAGAATCTAAAAGGCAGTGTTATGTTATAATTGAGCTACCATCAATGTATTGACTTGTTTTCCTTTTTATCTTGCTGTTGTGTATTGATTTAATCATTTATTGACTGGTGTCGACCATAGATTTTCTACTGACTCAAGAATTTCCCCTTTCTCCTCTTTCATACTTCCTGTTTTTTTCTTTATACCCCAAATTATTTTTCTGCATATTTTAAGACAATGACTATGTTAGTCTTAATCTCTGTTCCTTTAAATTTGACTATGGATGTGTGTTGCGATATGTTATCTATCTTGTTATGCTGAACTGCTAGGGTCCTTTAGGAGACCAAGGAGACAGTCCCAGTGAGCTCTCTTGCTCATCACTAGAAGCATCCCTTCTAGACCCAAGGGCAGGAGTCTGGTAAGAAGGGTTTTCTGCCTATTAATATTGTCACACTTGTACATGAATGCCAGGGAATCAGAGATGCTTACACTCTTAAAAAAAAAGTGTGCAGACGTTCTACCATTCATTGAACACTCAGTAATAAGCTGGATGCTTTTGGTATATTATTTAATTTAGCAATTGAAAACTCAAGGAAGTTTGTGCTTATGGAACAATACACATAGACCATGAAATAATAAGTGAAGGTATATAAAAAACCCATTTTGTCTGAACTTGATCATTTAACTATTCAATATTTTACTGGTTGGTTGAGTCACAGCATTATAACCCCAATTTGAACTGGATCCCTCCTCTAGTCAATGGGAACAGGGTGGGGTTTTTCTGACTTCCCTTTTCTTTCTTCTTTCTCCATCTTCTGTTTCAAGTCTGTGCCCAGTGTGTTAGGTTCTGGAGGAAGACAGTAGTGCACAAATATTCATTTGCTGTCTGTGTAGATGACATTATTTTTAGAGAATGAGGTTTATAAGGGAAGACTCTACACCCCAGACCCTAGTGTCCAGTGTAATTGAGGAATGCTCATTTCCAGGCCCAGAGCAAGGGTGTTGAGGCCTCGGGCCAACGATCTCTGTGTGTCTTACTGCCTCACCCCCCTGAGTTTGCTGCTGTTTACCAGAGAATTCCCAATGACGGGGAGTTTATACTTTGGGGGCAGGTGTACTATGTCAAGCTGAGGAACTGAAATACAGATATTTATAAGTTCCCAAAACATCTCCAGTCATCTGCCCACAGAGTTAGCTCGCCATCCTCAGGAGAGAAGCCTTTCTTCATCACTTGATCTGTTAAGGTTTAAGATAACCCAGAGGTTACAGTCCCAGGGAACTGCACAGCAGTGGCACTGAACTGCTGGAGACAAATGCAGCAATGAATGTCCCAGAAGACTGAGGGGACATCAGTGACAGCCACTAGGGCTCCCCTGGGAATACAGAAAGCTCTGCCTCCCTCCCCCAGACCTCTGCTTTTCCACTCTTCTGAGAGTACGTGAACAGCTGGCCATGTCCTCCCTCCCTTCCGTCCATCCTTCCTTCCTTCTCTAGTGGGCATACATGACACATGTCTATGCAGGTCAGAGGACAGCTGGCAGGAGTCAGTTCTGCCCTTCTACCATGTAGGTCCCAGGGATTGAATCAGATTGTCAGCAGCAGCAAGTGCCACCTCACTAGCTTAGGCTCAAATCAAGTCTCTAAAGTCCTTGAAGAAGTCACAATTAAATGAGGCTTACATGAATCCTAGTGTGGAGCTCACCCCATGGTCGTTGTGAAGGTCGATTCTATCCCAGACTTAGGGAGTAGGGGCATTGATGGTTTCCTGAATGTATCAGCCTAAGGGGGGGGGGGCTGCCGCAAGCAAGAAGAACAACTTGAATGCAGGAACATGTGGCTAACCCACGGGTATTCTGGTCCCTGGAAGAGGAAAAATATGGTCAGTCATGGAGGACACCCATTTACATTATCTCCTGATATGTTTGTGAGATCCTTGGGTGCGTAATGCTTTTCCTTTTTTACAGATGGAGAAATGGAGGCACAGAGAAATTAAGTGACTTGGCCACAGTTACAAGCTGGGGAGGACCAGGGAAAGCCTAGAGAGAGCTGGCTCTGGGCCTGCATCCTGCCCACGGAGTCACCCTGTCTCCGTCCTCAGGAGAGAAGGCTTCCTACAAGGTAAGGGCCATCTGTCTCCCCTATGATGTGCCTCCGCGCTGCCTCCACACTGAGTGGGGAGTTAGTGAGCAGAACTGTGAGTAGCCCTCTCTGTTCCAGATCAGATCAGTGATGAATGACGTCCTCAGGTGTTCAGCCTGGGCACCTGACGCTCTATCCTGGCAGCTCTTGACCTCCTTCATCCTTACATGACCTCATAGTCCCCAAGTGTTAGTGCCCTTAACCTTGACAGACCTCCTTAACACCGGGTCTCCTGGGTCTCCACTGTGTCATCCCTGCTGCAGCCACTCTGTCCTCTGTGAAGCCCTCAGTCTAGTCCTCACCTTTTCCTTCATGTCTGACCCTTCTTCCTCTTGGATGGAGAGTGATAAAGTCCTGGAAGTTAAAAAGGAATGGGGCGGGTGTGTGGGTGTCCGTGTGGGTGTGAGATGATGCTTCAACTGCCCTCCAGGATCTTTTTTCTAGTCTGTGCCTGTTGTGGCCTGCCTGCCCCTCTCACAGCCAGCACACGTCAGGGCCTGGGCAACTTTTACCTCCTGGGCCTTCACTAGGAACCTAACTCTCACATCCCAAATGTCATGGCATGTCAGGCAGGGAGGAGAGAGGGCAGGAACTAGATCCCACTCATCATCTCTGTTCTGAAACTCTGCTCTTCAGTCCCACACAACACAATTCCACAGTGTCCTGCTGACATGTCATTGGTCTACCCCAGACTCTTACTGTCATACTGAGTGTCTACTGCTTTTCCTTTTCTAGACCTTTCTTCCCTCCAGCCTTTCGTTCAGGATTTGCTGGGTTGTTTTCCTGTTCTCAGGGGAGACTCTGTGGATGCATTTGTATCAGCTCCATCAATGAAAGCTCCCTGCAGTGAGGCATCCCCAGATGGAGCGGTGCTTTTGTCATGGGCAGGGCACACCTGACACAGGAACTGATTTCAATGGGGACAGCTTAGTGACAATCAGGTTCCACGAACTGATGGCAACCCCATGGTACAGACACCATCCCTGGGATGCAGAGCTGACAGCTCATTGGTAGTGTATACTAGGTATTTTACAGTTCATGAAGCCCTTCCCAGTCCTTCCGCACCTGTTGTGAGCATTCACACCTGATCCTCAATTCAAGCTTACAGGAAAGTGTGGCTCTTACTCAGTAGATTGTGCAATGCTGACACCGAGGCCCAGAAGGCAACAGAACCACAAGATGGGGGAAGCTCCCTAAGCTGCATTGTGTATACTCTAAGCTACTTCTTCCTCCCTTTCCCATAGCTGTTCATTTTATAACCCGAAGCAGTTCATAGCAAACAGTGTTCTGAGGGGTCTTCTGTTTCTTGCCCTTGAATGCTGATATATGTCACAGGTCACAGGTCCTATCACCCATAGGCAGGAGCTTCTACAACTTCTCTATATTCTTTAGTATTTTCTTTCCCCTAAAAGCTACATAAATAATTTAGGGGGTAGACTCTAAAAAAATTGCAAACTAAAGATTTGCTGGTGTAATTTCACATATATAAATGAAAGGTTTGAGCTATAGTTTTCTATATCACACATGAATCTTGAAGTTTAATATTTTTACCATGATAATTAAAATTAATTAGGGGGAATTCAAGATACAAAATGCTGAGCATGGACAGTTATCACCTAAGAGAATCCTGCATCAGCATGTGATTATGGAACTGAGTGTGAAAATGTACAGACTTTGAAAATGTCTCAAAATTTGTTTTTCAAAGGAAGACACAGGACAAAGATCGGATAGCCCAAAGGCCAGCACATTGAATGTTGTTTCACCCTCCTTAGTTGAGGAAATAGGGCCAAGCAACCCTAGACTTTGTCTCACTGGAAGAAAGGAAAAGGGAAGGCCATGGGGAATGTTTCTAGAAATAGGAGTGTTCATATTTGACTTAAAAGTACAATAGACTTTTTGTTGTTACATATTTTAAGATAAACTGACATTATCTTTTTAGAAAACTCTTTAAAATGTGCATAAAGATGTGCATATTTATTGTGACTTACTTTCTGTAGTGGAAGTAATCAAACCTATAAGAAATAAAACAACCCAACTCTCCACCATTAGAAGTTAGGGGGCAAGTCAGATGCCTCTAAGCAATGAGGAACAGACATGCACACAGCAGAGCTACCCTCCTGCTCCAGCCTGCGTGGGGTTGTGGGTTAGCACAAGTTCAATACAGCCAGTTGCCTGGAAGTCAGTTCACAATCAGTAAGCATGTAAAGGAAAGGCTGGGTCACATTCATCATGTTCTGGAGCCTAGCACCTGTGTCATCTAGGGAAGAAACTTCTCTGGGAAAGGTGGGGCAGCTGCTGATTTACCCTCACAGAGCTGGGCTGGTCCCTGTTCCTTTTACCTCTCCAGTAGGTCAAGAGATGCAGAAAGCATGATGTCTCTGATCTGAAGATGTGGTTGACTAGTGGGAATATTCAGATGACCTCAGGAGGCAGTGCAATGTTGGGAAACTTGTTTAGAGAGAGGTTAAATCTATTCCAAGGAGATGGATAAAGAGCAGGTGAGTGGTTAACATTGGGAAAGAGAACTTAGACACTGGAGGCCTGGGTGACTTCTAGAGAAGATGGCATTCTCTGAGCCATTACTTTATAAGAACAGCCTCCATCTTACCTTTGAGTCCACAAGCTGACAGTATTCTGTGTAGCTAGAGTTTTCCTGCCTTGCCCACAGTCAGGACAAATCTTTGTCTCCCACCAGTCCCACAGGTCATCCTATGGAAGTCACACAAGTCCTGTACGTAGGTTAGGTCTGGCTTCTCCAAGGTTCTGAGACTCAGCCAGCTGCTCTTCTTGAGAACAGTTACCCTCAGGGATGAAGGAGACCTGTGGTAGCACTCTAGGCTTCCCCAGAGTCAGAGCACAGAAGTCATGGATGCTGGACTGTCCTGTGAACCAGCTCAGACCACAGTGGGATCAAGAAAGTTGAATTCCATAGTGTGGAAAACAGGTGCCATCAGTAAGGGATGAGGAAAGACCAGAAGCTCAAGGTAGTGCACAGCATTCCATGGGGCTGCCACCACTCAGCTCTGGCTAGTGGTGACCAAGAGAAAGTTAGGAATCATCTCAGAGTATGCTCTTTGCTCAGGGCTTAGTCAGCAGCCTCTCAGACATGAGCACTGGCCCCCAAATGTACACAGCTGCTGGGAAAACACAGATAGAAATATGGAGGGATTTTTTCTCTGTCTTATCCACCTAATATTTTACTTCTATCTGATGATACTAAGATTAGACAAGTTGAGTAATTTCACATTTACTGGTGCTGTGAACAAGAAGCCTATTTCTCTCTCCTAATTTTCCTGTAACTTCTTGAAAATTATGCCCTCCCTTATTTCACATGAATATCAGATCTAGATCCTAAAGATCAGTGTGCTTATACCACATTAAATTCTCTAAATAAAGGTGTTGTCATACTTCGGAAAGTTACTTTAAATCGCCATAGCACTCGGCCTTAATGCTTTGCAGGAATGACCAGAGTATATGATTTCTCATTTTTGTTGACCTTCACAGATGGGCTTTCATGATCCAAATTTGTGTGAGCCTGAGCTGAGTATGGGCACATGTTCTGTCGTGGAGCTGTAAACATGATGTGTCTGTTACCTAGGAGACAGTGACTCTCAGAACAGGTGCTAGTGGGGCACACCAACCCACACACAGTTGCACCCTCACACCTCTTCTCTCCAGAGTTCTGCTTCTTCCTCATCACGTCTTCCATCTAATTTGGCCTCTGCCCTTCCTCCAATCTCCCCTCTCAGTGTGGGGAACCAGCAGTGAAACAGATTTGAACAGCAAGAACTGAAGACAGGATCCGCTGACTGGTCCAATGATTAACTGCTTCCTGAATAACTAAAGGGTGATAAGGCAGGGTTAAGAACCAGCTCAAGTTCTGGGGTCTAGGTGAAAGCTACCCATATCCAACCTGCAATTCAGAACCTCCTCTGGTCCCTGTCCTACAAGGAGGACCATGGAGGGCCAAGAAGATCCACAGTGTGGAGACAGAGATAGCTTGGCCCCCCACAATCCCAGTGCCTAAAATGTAGCTACTTCTTGGCCCATGGTTGTACCCTGCTGGTACTTGGCAAGGAAAACAGGCTCCAAGGGTTCCCACAGACTCCACAGACTCCTTGAGAACACAATACTTTAAAATATTACATTCTCTTCACTGAGGCTGAAACTGAGGAAAGTGTCTTTTATCAGGGGAAAAAAGATCAAAGTAGTAAGATACATCCTGATTCCAAATGTAAACTTTACATGCTATAAAACAAGTCACGTGTTCTCTTTTCAACACATCACCCCTGAGAGCTTCTGTTGGCATAAAACCAACTTCTTAAACTCAAGACTTCTTTACGTATAAAACCACTTAATTTTTTTTAGAAAAAAAAAATCTAGCCGGGCGTTGGTGGCGCACGCCTTTAATCCCAGCACTTGGGAGGCAGAGTCAGGCGGATCTCTGTGAGTTCGAGGCCAGCCTGGGCTACCAAGTGAGCTCCAGGAAAGGCGCAAAGCTACACAGAGAAACCCTGTCTCGAAAAACAAAAAAAAAAAAAAAAAAAAAAAAATCTATCATTAGTTTGAAAATAAATAGGCTTAAGGAAAAAAAAAGATGGATGCTAAAGTATCCTTGGAGTGTGGATTTCCTAATGTAAATTGCTGATGGGGACTTCAGTGACCCAGGCAATGAGTGGGATTAGCATTTCCAGTTGCAGGGAGGGCAAAGATGGGATATGGGAAACATCAAGGAGTCGTCCTTGGTACAGCTAAGGAAGCTCCTGCAGCTTTTGAGCTAAGAGCCCCTGAGCCGTGAACAGTCCAGACTCTGGTTGCCACTGATGCTGTCTAGTAGAGGGGTTACCAGAAGAAAACTAGTCACCTTTCCAAGATGGCAGGTGTGCAGGGTATGGAACTCCTGAAAAGAGTGTGCAGGAAGCCTGCAGGAATGCCTGGCCTGTGACCGCACACTATCAGGTGTGACATTAGAAAATGCCACTGCACAGTATATGTGCTCTGCTGAAACCAAACCACACTATTGGCATTTGCTGAACATCTGTAAGGGTAGAATACAAACAAATTTGAAATATTTCATCCTGTGATTTTCTCAGACAAAAGGAAAGAAAGAGAGACTCTCAGAATTTATTTAGTGTTGTCTGTATGTGGAATGCTGGGTTAGACATTTTAAAAATATATCTATCACTCAATCATCATTGCAAGAAACATTGTTTGATAGAAAATAAAACACATTCAAGAAACACTGTCATCCAACAGAATTAGTGCTAGATAAACCAACAGGACCAGAGGAGAAGAGAGGAAAAGTAGAGCCTGTGACAGGAATTTAGCATAGAGCAGGAGGCCTTTCTGTGTAGCTGGAGTAGTGTGGTTACATGACAAGCAGTTAGTGGGAAAACGGCTGTCCATTTCCAAAGGCAGAACTGACCTATATGTGCAAAACAAATAAAAATACAGAAAGGGGCAGGCATGGTGACACATGCTTTTAATCTCAGCATGTGGAGAAAGTCTGGTCTACACAGTGAGTTCTAGGCCAGATATATATATATACCAAGGTGTATATATATACCTTGTCAATAATAATAATAATAATAATAATAATAATAATAATAGCAATAATAATAATAATAATAAAAGGCTTATGAATTTGAATGCAAAAAAAATAAAGTAGTTCTTATTGGGCCACCTGAACCATTAGCTGAGGAAGCCAGTGTTCCCATCCCATGCCCACAGAGAAGAGCAGGGTATGCCATACCTTGAACTAAAGCCAGGAGCATCATAAACACAGGTTTACTCACCAGATTCTGAATAAATGTGACAAAATGACAACTGTTCCCTTCTGAAATCAGGTACAGACCCTGTGATGATGGACCTTCCTTTGCCTGGAATATCTTTCTGCCATTCCATTTTAACCTGAAACATCTGATTAATTCAATGTTCAGCTCCAACATCAGTCCCTCTACCCTTCACCATAGTTTTTTCTATCCCTGGGTGAGAGTGTTGCTCAGCTCAATTTACCCTAACACTTTTAATTCAATTTTAAGTTCCTTAAAGAAAAGGATTTTAAATGTCCCTCTGCCCCTGGACAACTTTACAGGGTCTTAGAAGACACACTGTTTCTACAGAACAGAAGCACTTCCCTCACCACAGGCCTTACTCACTTGCCTCATTGGTCCTGTACAGCTTTGCTAAAATTTTGCTTTATCTTGAAAAATCTCATGTTGAATAGCAATTTCCGAGCCTCCGTGTGTCTGTCCCTTTAGGTGCTGTTTAAACTACAGCCCCCACACTAAGACAGCATTCAGAAGCTTAATGCTTAGGCCAACTGGACAGAGGCTTTGGTAGTATGAGGCCCAAAAGATGCCCAAGAAACTCCTGTATCATATGAAACACCCCAACAGTCTCTTAAGTGCATTTATTGCATCCATGTCTTCTCCTTAAGACATTCATGTTCCAGGAACAAAGGACCAGCCCACAAGGTTGGTTGGGCCACATCCTCGCTGGCCTGTGTAGGCAACCATGTGAGTCCTCTTAGCCCAGTCCCCTTCCGTCTTCTCAGAATTCAGCTAAGTCACTCCTTTTTCCATAATATTTCTATAATTCACCCCACTCATGCTACCATGGCCTCTGTACGCTCTGCCCACTGTGCCCCTCCTGGTCACCACTGGCCTCACAGTGTTTGTTCCCTTCAAGTGCTATTATTTCTCTTTGATCCATGAGATGTTCCTTTCAGTACACCGCCTATCCTCTGTTACCTATAGGCCTACAGTTTCTCAGAAAATGGCTTCATTCATCCATCCATCCATCCATCCATCCATCCATCCATCCATCCATCCACCCATCCACCTACTCACCTATCTATCCATCCATACAGGACTTCAAATATCTTTGTTCAGGGATAAGTTGCAGTCTCTTTCCATACATGGACATATGATTCTCAAGTACCATAGCGTTCCATGAGCATGCACTTCCCATGAGCTCTTCCTTTTCTGAAGCTATCCTTCATATACTAAATCAGGTGCAGCACTGTATCTGAAGCAGACAGGTCACATGAATAGATACTAAATTCATGGAATGAGCTTATATTCCTTATTGTATGATGTGCCCTGATGCCACTGGTCACATTGTATCCATGGAAAGTAAGTGCAGACACTCCGAGCTTGGGCAAAGGGCAGGTCTACCCTCAAGGTATATCTCTAGCAAGGCCATGCGCATCTGTTCGGTGCTTTATTCTAATATGTCTCTTTCCAAGGAGTAAGTGGCTTTGATATATGGTATATTGTACAAGGCATGGAATATGCCATCATGTCCCATATCTTCTGCCCAGGAATGTTGCTGTCCACACCAGACATGGCAAAGAAATCACTGTTGGAGTTAAAAAAACAAACAAGTAATCTGAGAAATGTTTTACTGTTTGTGTCTTAGCATCACTGCCAGTCTCTTATCAGCCCCTCTATTATAGTGACTAGAACTACATATATACCTACTGAATGAACTTTTATTCATATCTAATAAATTAATATATTGTGGAAATATTTGGTGGATAAGATATTAGTAAATATTTACCTCATGGTTGCTCATCCCTATGATTTAAAGGGGACATTGACAGCATATGTGACTTTCCCATCCATGAGTTCAGAAATGTAGGGTTTTTCCATAGATGAAAGAAACATAAAAAATTTCCTTACAAGACTGGTACAAGGTTCTAATGAAGTAGAACTTGGACACTTAACATGACAAAGTGTTTATCTGAGAGGAGAAAGGCTAGCAGAATGCCTTTGGGGGCTTCCTTTCCATGTCAAATATCATGTATATAGTATGTCCTCTGCACAGGCAAAGATCTGTGTACCTGGATTGAATAACACAGAAATGAAGCTTCCAATGGTATGAGTGACATTCTGCTCACCTCTCTTTCCTATAAGTTCTTTGTCATATTAACCCAGTTAGTTACAAGGAACATCTAGATACTTTTTGTCTTCTTGTAAACATAGTGGGTGTCTATTATGTTCTTGGTACAAAATATAATGCAGACAACCAAAGGTGTCCTAATCATATCCTCAAGAGGAAAGTTGGATTCCTGGAAAGCCATCCAAGTTTGTGGCTGAAGAGTGCAGAGGCCTAGTGATTACTAGACCCAGGTTTGATTTTCATTCCTCAATGAGCACATTTAAGACTGTTCAGCCCTTGGTTTCCCATGCTGCCCTGTGGAGGCCTTCCTTTATAGAACTCCACAGCATTAAGTGCCTATGACTCCAGTACCAGGGATAGTCAGGGGTGCTGGGTACAGCTGATCTGCATTCACAGGACAAGGGCACTGACCACCTGAAAATCTATTCCCAGATGGACGTGGACGCTGAGGAAAAGCGCCATCGCACACGATCCAAAGGTGTTCGAGGTAAGTGAGCACTTCCCCGTGTCTCTGAGGCTGGCTGGAGATTGCCACAGCAGTTCACTGACCCCCAACACCACCACCCTTTTGGTAATTTTCCATGGGAGAAGAGTGCCTATGACACATGATAAATTTTTATGTTTTCCATCTCTCTGCAGTTCCTGTGGAGCCAGCCATACAAGAGCTGTTCAGGTTAGTGCTTTGTGGGGGAAAGGTGTTCCCAGCAGCAGTTTAGAAAACTCAGGCCTCTGAATGGGTGTGCTGTACTTACGGACTGATTGGCGGCTTGCACATAGCCTGCTATAGTGGTGAAATTAATTCCCCTGAAACTGCAGATAAAAAGCTCCCTGTATCTCCTCCCTTGGTCAGTGCTGTTTCTCCTCTGCCCTCTCTCCCTCCCTCTCTCCCCCCTCCCTCCCTTCCCCCTCCTCTCCCTCCCTGCCCCCTCCCCCTCTCTCTAAGAGGCTGGCCTACCACCATCAGTGCCCACAGAAGCCCATGCAGCTATATAATCAGCTCTTTCCTGTTGCAGCTGTCCCACTCCGGGCTGCGATGGCAGTGGTCACGTCAGTGGCAAATATGCACGACACAGAAGGTAATGCCTGCCTTTTTCACAATGTGCTGTCTAAGATGGCTTGTTTAGAGACCCAATGCAAGTGAAGACATGTGGGCAGGTGTTTGGGGATATAATGCATGCCATCCTTGTCTTCTTTTCGATCACTTCTCCATGTCCTTCCACCTCCTGTATAGTTCTCAAAGCATAAGACACTCTGTGTCACAATGTTGACAACAGGGTATAAATTGGCACAAATCATGAGGAGCCTCCCATTCTCACCTGTGAGCCCATGCTCAGCATGTGGAGAGCTTGGGGCTTCCCATGACCCATGAGGAAGGTTGAACCCTTCCCTCTCTCCTCATTACAGTGAACCTCAGAAGATAACTTAACACAAGACCTGTTGAGCTTTATGAAGTAACCTTGGTCCCATCGTCTAAGAGATCTTGTACTGGGAAACACAGACTGCAGTGATACCCAGACAACTGCAGGGAATGCTCACACAAGGGACAAGAGTTAGGACAGATCACACCCAGAGTCCTGGAGACAGGTGGTCTTGTTACTCTCACAAGTACTAGATTTCACATTCCTGATGGTGAGGGGGTGTGGAGAAAACATCAGGAAGGAAGACAGTTGAAAATGCACCAGGGCACTTTATACACACCTGTGGCCAGCTGCCATGCCCATGTTTCGTCTTCCCATCTGCTCTGACAGGAAACACAGGTGGGTCCTGCTGTATGAAGGTCCCAGACGTGATAGGTGTCTAAAGTCATCCTGTGCTACTAACTTTCCGTGGCCAGACTGACATCATTTGAGTCGGGCACTGCCAGAGGTACTCAGGGTGACCTCTCCTTTGTCCTCATTCTCCATTTTCTGTCCAATGAAACAGTAATTTGTGGGTAAAATCAAGCTATTATTTTGATTGTCACTTTGTAAAATCAAAGGAAAATTTGTGAATCATTCCCCAGATCCCCATGATTGCACACAAGGGCACAGGGGATTGCTTAATGAGCATCCATCATGAGATGGCTGTCTGGTTTCCCCATGACATACCAAAGGAGACATGGGCCACTTTTCTCTAGGAATTTTTTTGTTTTAAATTACTAACTTTAATGTGTTACATCATTATTCATGCCATATAAAATTGTAAATTGCTGAATCAGGTAATGAGACTGGTAACTAAAATATAAATTTTGCTACGTGGAGACATGTAAGGTCTTAAGTCTGTGTGCTTAAAGACAGCATTATGTGCTCAACAGAAAAATAGTTGGCAAACTCTGAGCAGCGTCTATTTTCTCCTAATCATCTCTTCATTAGCCGATAGTTAGGCTTTCTCACAGTTATGAAAATAAATTATTAAATTTGGTTAACAAATTTTAACTGGATATCATTTCATAGCCACAGTTTTGCAAAGAAAAAAAAGAAAGAAATTTAGAAGAATAATTACAAACATTCATTTGGCTTTTATTCTGTGAACAAGTAATTGCTGTACCTATGGGGTTGTGTTGTGGTATTTCAAGGCATGTTCACAGTGAGCACTGATCAAGTCAGAGAGATTACCACTCTCTTCTCCTATCTCTATCACACATTCAGATCCTGAAGGTGAATTCCTGGAAGGTGTGGGTTGATGTGGCCATGAATGATGTATATTCACTTCTTACATACTCTGCTTACACGTGGTTTCTGAGGGAGATCTGAAGGCAGTTTAGCCTCAGTCCATTTCAAAGTAGATCCTGGCATGAAGCACTCAGGTGGACTATGAGGAAAGACACAGAACCGTGCCAGCTAGGAAAGTTCCCCAGAAGCCTGGGCACATAAAAATGCTGGTACCATTTTATCCTGACTCATTCCCTCCTGTTTGAATTGAAGCATTCACCAGAGAGTACACAAGCAATGTAATATGGATGGAAACCAATGGCTCCAGTCTGGAAACCTGGATTCTGATTTTCCCTGTGCCACTGACCATCTGAGGTGGCAGGACAGGAGTGATCTAGTTGGCTGTGACCTCCAGGGTCCTCAGGCCACTGGTGATACTTGCTAAGCAAAGCCACAAGATAATGCATTTTAACATCTTGGGGTTGCTGGTGTGTTAGGATTAGAAGATTTGATTATGTCTGGCTTTGATTTTTATGGTTTGAAAGTAACTTCTGGCTGCGGTATTTTCCTTTCCTGAGACCTGTCCATTCTGTATGCAGTCCACCGGGGCAGTAGTGGTAACTGTGAAGGATGTCTGATGTGACTTGGACATGGGGCTTGTCTTAGGGGTAGAGAGACATGGGAGCTACAGCCTGGTATGGATAAAATTATCTGCCCTTTTTATCCTTTTAGCAATGTATTTCTTGTCGAATGCGTTCTCCTCAAGGCTGCAATTTTCACTTAGCTTCTATGTCCCCCCCAGTCCATGGTATTATTTTAATATGTTGAAATGTCTCTTTGAACATGCACAAAGTGACTAGAGGCAGATGTGGGCAGTCCATGTTATGAAGAAAAAAAAAATCAGTGTGTGTGTGGGGGGACCTATTCTATAGCCCTTTGTACCATAGTAAAATGGTGCCTATTCTATAGTCCTTTGTTTTTATTAAGAAAACTCCTAAGAAAATGAATATTTTCTCACCCTTTTAGTTTGCTGTTTCTGTGCTTCTTAGGCACAAAGGGTGAGGCTCTGCATGCTGATCGGTCTCCTTGTGGGTGCTAACTCTGTAAAAGAAGACGGGAAGGTTGGGTGTCCTTGGGTGATGGAGACGAGCACAGATTTCAAAGAAATGAGGAATAAAGCTGTACCAACCACTAGATAAAACCTGGGCAAGGAGATAGTAAGTTGAGAGTGATTCACAATTTAAGATTTGGATTTAAATATTAGGACCAGAGTAGGGCTGCAATATGCATTTGGGAATGTTTTACACCAACCCCTGTATTTTGTCTTAACAAAAGACAAACTGCTTTGTAGGTATTTGTTTGTGTTAATAGCTCGTAATAATCCATGGTCTCTGGTAAACCTAGGTCCAACCATACAATTAAATGGTAAGTTGAAAGTTAAGCTAGTACAAC